AATGGCAGTGAAACATGTATATTATCATATATGAAATAGATCGCCAGTCCAGGTTCGATGCATGAGACATGGTGCTCAGGGCTGGTGCACTGGGATGACCCTGAAGGATAGGATGGGGAGGAGAGTCAGGATGGGGAACACATGTATACCCATGGCTGATTCATGTCAATGTATGGCAAAAGCCACCACGATATTGTAAAGTAATTAGCCTCCAGTTAAATTAAAAAAAAATAAAGTAAGTGAAAGTCACTCAGTCATGTCCGACTTTTTGTGACTCTATGGACTATAGTCCATGAAATTCTCCAGGCCAGAATACTGGAGTGGGTAGCCTTTCCCTTCTTCAGGGGATCTTCCCAACCCAGGAGTCAAACCCCAGGTCTCCCACATTGTGGGCAAATTCTTTACCAGCTGAGCCACAAGTGAAGCCCAAGAATACTGGAATGGGTAGCCTGTCCCTTTGCCAGCGGATCTTCCCAATTGCAGGTGGATTCTTTACCAATTGAGCTATCAAGGAAACCCTATAGTTCTCTTGACTAGGTATCAAACCCAGGCCCCTTAAAGTGGCATTAGTGTAAATATAATAAGGATTTGACTAGTGTTAAGTATATGGAAAGGCTGTATCCCTAATAATAATAAGATTTAGTAGTCCATATTTAGCTTCTGAAAACTGACTCTTTGATCTTTTTATACTACTTTTGCTAGAGCACTTTTTAAAGAAATTGAGTCAGTTTTTTCCCCTTGTATTTCTCATTTTCTCCGCTGACTAATCTTAACTGGAAGCCAAATTCCTATTTAGTATACTTCCTTAGTAGTTTATATTTCTGAGAGATATAGATATATATGGAAATATATGATGAGTAGTGGTAGAATGCCAGCGACAGTCCCCATAGGTTGTCTGGTCCTGGCTTTGCCATATCTTCCTGGATTTTAGTGAAATAGCATGTTAGAGGAATCCTCATTAATGTCTTTATGTATTCGTTTCACCAGTACTTGGGTGTCTTCTAAGTGTACTGGGCTAAATGTTGAAGATACAGAGGGAAAGGAAGTGCACTTATACCTTCAAGGTCACAGGAGCATAAATTAACACTTACAGTCTAGTGATTCCAAATAATAGAGACGTACAGAAAGCTGTGTGAGTCCAGGGAGAGAGGGACTGATTCTGCTGGTGTGACATCAGGCAGGTTCACAGGGGAGCTCTGTTGATGGGGTCTGGAAGGATAAGCAGTGGGATCACAGGAGAAGAGCATGCTCAGCAGAAGCAGCAGTCAGCACAAAGGCTTAGAAACGTGGAAGAACTGTCAGAGCAATAGTACACGAATTGTGGTATGGCATGTGTGTGACACCCACGTCCCCATACCACAAGCAGGCACTGCGGAATCATTCACATTTTTGCTGCTAAATTTATAAGTATCTTCAGTTCTCAGCAGGGTGCTTCAGGCAGTCACTGCCAGTTGTTTGGAGTTGGCACACGAGACTGAACCTGTCTGTCCTCTCTGCAGTGGGCGTCCACTGTGCCTGGAGCGTCGGATGTGTGTGGGAGGGGTGGACGAGGAGATCAGCTGGAAAGGTATGTGGGAGGGCTCAGGTGATGAAGGCCTTTTTGTGCCTCACAACTGAGTTTGTATTTATAGTCTGTATAGGTGGTGGATATCCATAGAAGCATTTTAAGCAGGAAAATGATGTAAGCAGACTCTTCTGTTTGGGAAGATAAGCTTTGTAGAAGATGGATTGAACTGAGTAAGCTGAGGGCAGAGACACTACTGGGCATTTCATACTATCATTAGGTCTTAGTAGCCTCTAAGTTACCAAACCAGTTAAGAGTATTGTGGCTGTTCAGACCAGAGGTAATGGAGGTCTGAATGAGGGAGTAGGAATAGGGAGAAAGAGTCTGAGGGTGATTTAAGAAATAGAATGGCACGTGGCTGTTTAGTTGTTGACGTTACAGTGGGAAGAAGGAAGGAATCTTGGGAGGCTCTCAGGCTTACCACCTGGGTGCTTATGGGGTGGGGAGGGTGGGATGCACAGGAAGGGGTGGGAAGATGATGACTTAACCCTTGCTGGAAACTAAGTTGGCCCAGAAAAAATATTTTTCTTATGGAGTCATGTTGATTCCTATCAAGTTCCTTTAGTCTTCTGAAAGGTTGCAAATCAACTGTTTAATGTCACATGGTATCGTGGTAAGAACATAAAGAGTTGCCTGTAGAAGATGTGGTTTGATTCTTGGAAAGAGAGTATCACTTAATTCTAACCTCAGGCAATCCATATCACCCCTCTGATTCTCTTTCTTTCTCTGTAAAGGGGAAATAATATATGTCCAGCCCTTCTTACAGAATTGTTACGAGAATCAAATGAGGAAATTTATGTAAGGGTATTTTGTCAACACATATATTGCATATATATTTTAACTGAGTCATTTCTTTCCTTTATAAAAAGATGAATGTTTCAAGATACTCTGATTCCAGATTGATAAAGAACTACTAAAACAGTCTTAAGTAAATATATATTTGGAGTCCATAAAGTGATTCTTGAGTTTGAAAAAAAACTGGTGGTGTTTTTCATATTGTCATTAGATCTTAGTTGCCTTAGGTCTTGCACTAGAGTTTTAGTATAGATTATAAGGGTCTGAGAAGAGTTTAGCAGAGTATCAGAGAAAGTTAATTAGTGTTTGACCACCATGTATACTAGCTTTAAATTGAAAAATCATATAGTATTCTTGAATTTAGCTTTTTTTCACTTTATCACTTTCAAACTTGATAGTCACTTATTCATACTTTAATTTAGCCTCTTTAAATCCTTGGGAGAGTATTGGGGAGCTTATTACATTAATAGTAAAAAAAGAATGTAAATACAACTTTTTGCCCTGAACTGTTGGAACCAATTTCATTTGAGAACTGTAAGACAAGTCATAGTTTTGATGAAACAGTTGGTTCATTCTGTTGTCTGATGTGTACAAAATTAAGTTTTATTGATTGGAAATGATGAAAATCTGTTTAAAAATTGTCTAATGATAGTTGCTCCCTAACTCTGACCTCCTTTTATGATTAAGAATTGTTTTGATTCTATTTGCATTTGAAGAACTTAGTATGTTACTTATAAAATACTCATAAAAGTGTATTAAAATTTAAATAGTGAGATGTTTGCCTAGGTAGTTTTCATAGTGTAAATCTGATATACTCAGTCCCGATAGAGGATAGGTAACTCACTGGGGCAGATGATCTAGATGGCAGTTTAGGGTGCTGTATCTAAATGAGGTGCCTCTTGCCTGGGAGGGTCTCGGCTGTGAGCAGAGGCCACTGTGGGGAGGAGACTCTTAGGAGAATATGTTGATAGGAAGCACGAGAACATTTGGGATTGACGCTTGCCAGTTGACTTTGTTTTATGATTTGCTGTTAATTTTGACTCCCCTCCAAGTTCTCGTTGTTCTTGAAGAAAGTGGTATAGTGTTGTGAGGTCTCATGAAATTTAGACAGTTAATGTCTAAGGGGAATTTTTGTAACCCAGATCCACACTGTACATAAAAAGAACCACAACTCTGGTCATCTCATCCCAGCACAGGAGTGTCAGAAGTGTGGCTTCCATAGGGCCCGTCCCTTCTGTGCCAGTGGAAACATCATTGAGTGGTCCCGGGCTCCTGCCTGCAGTCCCCCTCAGAACTCTTCTGGAGGCAGCATGCTGAACAGCCATTACCCTTCAGCTAGAATCTGCACAGAAGGGAAACCTCTGTGCTACGCAGACTTTGAGTGTTGCCAAATTACCTGAAGTAGAAAAAGATAATTTTTGACTTTTGTTGAAAATATGCTGAAACTGAAGTAACTATTTTCAGTGGAAAATACTTGTCGTTTAATGATACTTGTTCTATGAGATAATATAAAATTTAGTTAATTAAGGTTGCTAAATAGAAAAAAATAACACTCTTGATAGTTAGCAAAGCGTATTATTAGACCTTTGATTTCAGAACAGGTTGTTATATTTGGTTCCTCTGGTGCCACAGAATAGGTTGGGAGGTGGTGGAGGGGGGACAGACATCGGAGTGTTAGGTCTGTGAGGCTGTCAGCTGGCCTCACTCACTGGTGAGCCCATAGAGCCAGCAGTATTGTTGTAGACTCTAAGGTGTATAAATCAGACTGATGAACATTCCCTATAGGGTAGGTGTAGGGGTCCTGGGCTGGAAAGGAGGAGGAGTGAGTGAGGAGGGGAGGGAAAGAGGTCGAGATAAATGTGTATTTGAATTTAGGATGATGAGATTTAAGATGTGTAGACTGGGAACATTTTTTACTATCCAGTGTAAATGTATGCTATTTACTCTTTTTGTTAAAACATTTTCATAAGTGGTTCTCCTTTAAAATAACTGTTTTAACCACCCAGGTTAACAGAAAAATATAACTATACATGTTCTCTGGTATTTTGATATCTCAGTGATGAGAAAATATTAATGTTTGTACGGCCAAATATTATTCAATCTGGTTATTCTTTGGTTGATCTTCTATTGGGAGAATTGCTAAATTAATTATAGTGTGTCTATGTATTATACAAAAACTACTGTCATATGTTAAATAAGAATTTAAAACATTTCTGCCTTAATAGAAATGATCACTGTACCTTTAAACTGGAAATATATTTAGGGAAGAGACCAAGAGTCTTTTCAAGACTTTTCTTACAAGTGTTTTAAATGGTAGCTTTTAAATGCCTTTAAAGAAAGCAAGAAAAAATATTTTTGTTTTGCTTTCTTTAATTTATATATGTGTAATATGTTTTATATTTTATTATAATTAAGTGTGTTCTTTGCACATTTTTCTTGATGATTTTCTTATGAAACTTTTTAAAACTTAAATCTCTAAGCAGAAACTTCTAGAATATTTGGTCACACTAGAACCTTTTTGTGGCACAGATTTTCATAGACATAATGAAGCTGTAGTCAGAATAGCTCAGGTATTTTTTTGTCAGTGATTAAAAAAAACCCCAAATCCTCTGAAAAGTAACTTTTTGTATTTTTATTACAGGTAAAGTGGAATATTCACATTGTACAGAAACTGAGGTAAGAGAAATGTTAAAATATTTCTTAGTAATAACCCAGCTTTACAATTCTGTTCCGACTAACTTGAGTGCTGAAATACCTCTCTGTGGGTTTTTGGTCTTCTGATAAGGATGTGTTGAGAACAAGTATGTATTTATTGTATGTATGTATTGTATAGGAAGAGTAAAATGTAAAGAAAAATCAGTTAATCATGTCCATATATTTAAAATATCAAGGTATGTTATAAAAATAAACTGTATCATAGTTTAAAATTTTTCCTGTGTTGTTTGTGAAATGGAGTTAAGATTCAGAGCCCTTAACAAGAAATAGGTTAAGTTTTTTAAATAATCTGATCTAGTTTGTCATATAAATCATTTAAATATGTCAGACTCCTGTGGAGTCGCTTTGGAATGGGAAAAAATAGGGACTTAGGAAGTCATTCAGTAACATTACTGATGAATTAAATGCTTTGTCTTTGTATACAAGTATGTTTACTATTTTTTAAATAATTTAAAATTCAGTTTGTGAAATTTAAGGGATTTCCGTGTGGCTCCATGTGTCCCTTGCAGAAGTTTCAGTGGTAAAGCTGAAGTATGAGGGCAGCATCAATGAATTATGTATATATGGAGGTTTTTTCTGTCTGGAGCTGTTGCATCATTACATATGGAGTTTTAGGTCTTTTGTTAATACCTAATTAAGAATTTAAGATGTTATTTTTCTAATTTTATAATGCATCTACAAGTTGATGTCAGTTTTATTAAATTTTGATTGTTATTTTAAGTAAGATGCAAGCTTCCCAAGGGATTATATTGTATAACAAGCAAAAATAATTTATTCTTTTTTGCATCAGAAGCTATTCAACTTGTTTTATATTTACTGACAGCTTTTTAAAAAAAATTATTTTGTTTATTTTATTTTTGGCTGTGCTAAGCCTTCACTGCTGTGTGCTAGGGCTTTCTCTAGGTGTGGCAAGCAGGGGCTACTACTCTCTGGTTGTAGTCTCGGGCATTTCATTGTGGTGACTTGTATGGTTGTGGAGCACGGGCTTTCGGGCTCAGTAGCTGTGCTGCTTGGGCTTAGTTGCCCTGCAGCATGTGGAATCTTCCTGGACGAGGAATCTAACCTGTGTCCTCTGCATTGGCAGGCGGATTCTTAACCTCTGGACCACCAGGGAAGCCTTATTGTGACAATTTTTGATGTATTGTTCAATGTGATATAAAGGAGTGGGATTTGATTTGAGTCAAAAATAAAAGTTCTGCCTGTGGTTTCTGGTTTGCATCTTTCTAGCTATGTAATTTTGAGCAACTAATTCTTTTTCTCTCATAATTCTGGCTTTCTTATTTATTAAATGTTAAAGATAATTTCTACTAATTTCATGGGTTGTGAAATTTCAAAGAGATTATGTGGATGAAAATGTTTTATAAACTCTGAAGACACTTATTGATATCAAATTGATAAAAATATAATCAGCATTGATCTGCATTTAGGTGATGAAATGTGAGGACTTTACATACAAGGCATAGTCATAAGTCTCATTTGCACTTGTTTCTGTAGGAATGTCACTGTCATCTCCTACGTGATAGCTCTATCCTTTGATGCATAACTTAACATCAAAAGACTTGAAATCTAAACAGAACTCTTTTTCATAACTTTTTTTTTTTGGTCTAACTATTTGAAGAGGGAAAATCATGAGAAAATGAGAAGTTTGATCTGATAGTTTACAAAGTGGGTTTGGAGTATCTTTTACAGTAACTGGTTTTTACCTCTAGGGCAGATATTGGGGTTGTGGATGGTGATTTATCTTTATTACTTAGATTTTTTTGAGGTGACAATGTTTCTTTGTATTACTTTGGTAATTAAAATAATAAAAAGGAGGGGCAGTAGGAGGAGTGGGAACTTTAAAAAAAACTTACTCGAGTGAAGGAGGAGATAGTTTAAGTAGGAAGTTTTGTTTTTTAGGTTGGGGGAAATTGTCCATTTGGTGCTGGTAATGGTAGTCTTCCCTGGTGGCTCAGATGGTAAAGAATCTACCTGCAATGTGGGAGACCCGAGTTCGATCCCCTGGGTGGGGAAGATGCCCTGGAAAAAAGAATGGCAACCCACTCCAGTATTCTTGCCTGGAAAATCCCATGAACCAAGGAGCCTGGCGGACCCCAATCCATGGGGTTGCAAAGAGTTGGACACGACTGAGCAACTAACACACACAGTGATAGTAAGGGCTTCCCTTGTGCCTCAGTGGTAAATATCCCCTGAAGGAGGAAATGGCAACCCATTCCAGTATTCTTGCTGGGATAATCCCGTGGACAAAGGAGCCTGGTGGGTTGCAGTCCATGGCGGTGGCAAAGAGTGAAACTAGTTTCTTCACCTGACTGAGTGAGCATGCATGCATGCATGCAGTGGTAGTAAGGGGGAAGAGAGAGTGAGAAAGAAGATGGGGGAGAGAGAAGGGGAAAGAGAGAGGGGGTGGGAAGAGAGGTGGAGAGGGAGAGATCCAAGGGAGAATGGGTGCCTGCCAGCACCAGAAGTGGTTGCAGCTAGAGGTGGCCGGGCTAGAGCGTTAGTTCTCCAAGGACAGTGTGAAGCCTCTGGGGGGTTCTGACACCCTTTCGTGGTCAAACTATCTTCAAAGTATTACTGAGACATTATTTGTCCTTTTACTCTTATTCTGGCACGAGTGTATGACGGTGCCTCTGAAAGAGGCTTCATGGCTACATGATCCTGACTGTCCTATCAGAGTGGCTGCAGAAGAGCAGATGTAGCTGGATTTTATTAAGTATAGCCTTTAGGAGTTTTGCAAAAATATGAAACAGTACCACCCCTTTCACTATTTTATTGACTTTTTTTTTTTTTGCCACCCTGAGTGGCATGTGGGATCTTAGTTCCCCTACCAAATCTGAGTCTCCTGTATTGAAAGCTCAGAGTCTTAACCACTGAACCACCTGGAAAGTCCTATTTTTTTGGAAAATTTTGAGCATTTCTTTCTAAAAAAATGTTACATGTATTAACATTTTAATAGCATTATTTTTCTTTAATTATTTTATTTAAAAAATTTTATTAGAGTATAGTTTTACAATGTTGTGTTAATTTCTGCTCTATAACAATATTATTTTTGAACAATTTAAACAATTCAACAAAAAACTTTCAGTTTTAATCTCTGATACAGTAAATGTTTGATTATAGCTCATACACACAAAAGCTCCTTGGACTCCCTGGTAATTTTTGAAAGTAAAAGGGCCAGAAAACTAACCAGTTAGAGTTGGGCTGGGTCTGGAGAGCAGAGGGACTTCTTCCTGAGAAATGGAGTTTAGGGTCGGGAGAGGTCAAACCAGAGCCCTGAGCTGGGTTGGTGGAAAGCGAGGAAAGCCTTGGCATGTGAATGAAGCCAAAATTTTTTACTTTAATAAGCAATTTAACTTTTTCTTACACCGTTGTTTTTCTATTTTTTTTGAAGATAAAATTTATATACAGTAGAATTTAAACTTTTTAGTTAAAATTCTTCAAGTTTTGACAAATATCATCACCACAGTCAAGTCTCATCACCCGCTAGGATCCCCCCATCCCCAACTCCCCACTAACCACTAATCTGTGTTCTGTCCCTTTGGTTTTGAGGAGGACCTGTAATGTACATAGTGTGTTACCTGCGTTGGCCTCCTCTCTGGGAGTGGTCATTTATAAATTGTCACATGACTGACCTGTACTTGGGATTTGCTTGTCAAGGGAAGTGGTTCCAATCCACAGTTTAGGGAAACTTTCACTCCTAGTTTACAAGTTTTTCCTTCTGCCATTACTTAAATAGTCTTGTGGGTGATACACTTACATTTGAATAAAAGGCTAAGCACTTAAAAATACTAAAACATAGAAGATTGAAATTTCCAAGTATCTTAATTGAGACTTTTCCCTTGTTTTTAGCTTTCTAAATTTCATTCCATTCTGTCTTCTATTAACTACAGTTAATTATGCAGCACTCAGAGGCCCTTTCCCTTTAGCAGGCACAAAGGTTGAATGAGTAACCAGAACAACCCTGTTCTGTTCTCTTTGATGGATTTGCTGTATTTTATGTGAAATTGGTTAAAGCATTATATGAAGTTAGATAACTTTTGTCGATCCTTTAATCTTGATAGAGCTAGTTTGTAAAAATCATAGCATAGCAGAAAGTGTAAGCTTTACTGAGGGGAACTATGGAAAAGATTTATGCTCCTGTCTTAGAAATAAAGTTCATATTTATGAAGTTCAAATAAAGTACCATATGTAAGTGCTTACTGTCTTTCATTCCCCCATCTTTAAAAAACACTTTAGCTTTTCCTCTGTGCTGAGTACTGTTAGATACCTTAATTTAATCCTCACAACCAATCTGGGAAGTGGGTTCTGTTACTAACGAAAGCTGAGGTGTGGCGAGGTTGAGGGACTTGCCCAGGGCTATAGAGCCAGTGTGTTGCACAACCACCTCTCTTAGCTTTTTCAGGTTTGTCTGAATCCAACCCTTGGTTGTCTGCATCTGCAGAATGCTGACAATTTTGTGCCCATGAAGTTGTCCTTGTCCTTTATATGTTTCTCACCTGTGACTCTTTTTGTCCTGGCATTATGCAGTGAGGGAATACATTCCTGTTGTATGGAAACCAGGCAAAGAAGGAACAGACTCTGTCCATGAACCCCCAGCCCCACTGTTAGGTGAATACAGTCTGTACTGGAGCAATTTGTGAATTAGTCTGATTCTGAATTACTCAGAATGACTCAAGAATTTTGCTGTATATTTCAATCTCCTGGGAAATCGCACCTGGAATTAGTCTGCTTTGTGGGGAAACCCAGAGCTTTTGGAAATGAACCAAGGACACATCAGAGGTAGTATTTAGACTTACTCCATTCTCGTTATATACAGATTTTGACAGAAACTGGACTGTGAAGATTTTTCATGTTCCCTGAGCAGCCTAAAATAAACTGCCAAAGGTAATATCTGGGTGCTGACTGCTTTAACAGAATACAATACAAAATAAAAGAAAAAAACCCATTTTTGTTTAAAAAAA